GCCTTTCGGGCGAGGCGAGCGATGTTATAAGTTCTCTCAAAATATCAGAACTAAACTATGACGTAGCGTGGCGGTTGTTAAAGGATCGATACGACAACAAGCGAGTTATCATCCAAACGCATGTAAAAGCGATTATAGAACTTCCTCCAATGTCGAAGGAAATTGCAAGCGAGCTGCGCTCAATTTCAGACGGCGCAACTAAGCACATTCACGCCCTTCAGGCATTGAAACGCCCCATCACTCATTGGGACGATCTATTAACATGTATACTGAGTTCAAAACTGGACGCAGTCACATCCCGGGAGTGGCAAACGTCTTTGACAGGTACGGATCCTCCCACATTGAAACAATTACTCGATTTCATATCTCATAAATGTCAGGTGCTAGAGGCGACGGGCAAATCATCTATCGGAACCAATTCCAAGGCCAACCTTAAGCATCAATCTTCCTGTCACGCGGCCGTCAAGTACAAATGCAGCTATTGCAACGGTGAGCATTCTATCTATCGCTGCAAGAATTTTTTAGCTCTCCCGATTCCCCGTAGGATCGCCGAAGTACGCAAACGAAAGCTTTGCGGCAATTGCTTAAGATCTACATCGCATGCGGCTAATCAATGTGCGTCAGGCACTTGCAAAACGTGTGCTGCCAAACATAATTCTCTTCTTCACCTTTCGAGCAGCTCGGAACCCCGTGATTTAAGTTCCAATAAAAAAAATGAAGTTGACAAATCAAAAACTTCTTCCGTGACAGTCACGCACGCGTCGAATCTTTCAAACGACAATCACATTATGCTATCTACAGCCGTCGCAAGCGTCAATAACAGTCAAGGCATACCAGTAGAGTGCCGCGTTTTATTAGACTGCGGCTCGCAAGCTAATTTTATTTCTAGAAAATTGTTAAACATCCTAGGTTTAAAGCCTCAAAATCAAAGCGTATCCATTTCCGGAGTTAACGGATCAGTTACCAATTCGTCTCAAGTCGTAAATTTGAGAATTCATTCGCTGATTAATTCATATTACGCCGACATTAGTTGCATCGTGACAGATCAAGTTACAAGTAAACTACCCGCGTACAACTTAAAGCGCGATAACTTTGACATTCCGCGAAATCTCAAGCTAGCCGATCCCAACTTCCATAAAGCCGCAGATATCGACATCTTGCTCGGTGCCGAGTTCTTTTGGGAGTTAATGTGTGTCGGTCAGATCAAGGCTTCACACAAACATCCCACGTTACAGAAAACGCGATTGGGCTGGATTCTGGCGGGTCGCTTAAACAACTCGTCGGCTTCAACTAAACGTGTCCAGGCGCTACACGCGGTCGTGTCCAACGCGGAATTACATGAGCAATTAGGCCACTTTTGGCAGCAAGAAGAAGTCACAAACAAGTCAGTCTCTCTCACTGCCGAGGAATCTTATTGCGAACAACAATTTCTGAAAACCGTGTCCCGAACGCCACAAGGCCAATTCGTGGTACAGCTCCCGCTCAGGGAAAATATGGTTAATAGACTAGGGGATTCCAGGGAGGTCGCTTTGAAGCGATTGTTAAATCTCGAGAAATGCCTCAGTCGCGATCCACTTTTGAGGGAGCGATACGAACACTTCTTACGCGAATACGAGTCCTTGAATCACATGATGGAAATAGACGTTCCACCAAGTGAGGATTCAACTCCCTTTTATCTGCCCCATCATGGCGTATATAAAAATTCTGACAATTCAGCCAAACTCCGAGTTGTCTTTGACGCGTCCTGTAAGAGCAGTTCGGGTTTATCGCTTAACGACGTCTTAATTGTGGGGCCGGTCGTTCAACAGGACTTAGCTTCAATTTTAATGCGTTTCCGCACGTTTGCTTACGTTTTCACTGCCGACATAGTGAAAATGTACAGGCAAATATTAGTAGCACCGTCACAGACACATCTCCAAAGAATTTTATGGAGAGATAATGCGGACTCAAGCGTGAAAACATACGAGTTAATAACCGTCACTTACGGCACTTCTTCGGCCTCTTATTTGGCTACCAGATGCCTAAAACATTTGGCCGAACTATTCAGAACAGACTTCCCGGTGGGATCCAAGCATGTTGAACGTGATTTTTACGTCGACGACATTCTTACCGGGGCGGATACGATAGAAAATGCGAAGCGAATCCGGGACGAAGTCGTGCAACTCTTACGCTTGGGGGCCTTTCAGCTTAGCAAGTGGGCCTCAAATTGTCCATTATTGTTAGAAAACGTGGATAACCCGCATCTCAACACGGTCGCTATAACTAACAGCACCGATTCGCGAATCTTAGGGATCCAGTGGGATCAGGCACGAGACGTCCTACAATTCTCATACAAAACCCAAGATTATTCAAGCATAGTAAACAAACGCGGTATACTCTCCGAAGTAGCCAAATTGTTCGACCCACTCGGCCTTCTCGGTCCGATGATCACTAATGCTAAACTAATCCTTCAAGAGCTTTGGCAAGCAGGTGTCGAATGGGACGAGACAGTTCCTCAGCATCTCCACTCTCGCTGGATGGCCTTCAGGGCCTATCCAAGTTAAGTCAAATACAAGTCCACAGACGCGTTAAATTTGCAACAGACCCCCAGTCGGTTCAAATACACGGGTTTTGCGACGCAAGTCAGCGGGCCTACGGCGCCTGCTTTTACGTTCGCACCGGCGAAGGCGCAGGGAATTACCGTATCAAACTACTATGCTCCAAATCTCGAGTAGCTCCGTTAAAGACGATTACGCTACCCAAACTAGAATTGTGCGCGGCGGTACTTCTAGCGCAACTCTTAAAAAAGATTTCCGAATCCTTCGAGTTATCAAGCAGTCGAATATTCTTGTGGTCCGACTCCACAATCGCCCTAAACTGGATAGCATCACCTTCACGTCAGTGGTCCGTATTCGTTTCAAACAGGGTTGGGGAAGTGCAACGCCTAACGAGTCCCGAAAGTTGGCGACACGTTCCTTCTCCCGACAACCCAGCCGACATCCTATCGCGCGGACTCGACCCCAGAGACCTGCCAAGCGCAACCCTGTGGTGGCGAGGCCCTGCGTTTCTACAACGCAATGAAGACCAC